TTCCAAAATTAAATCTTAACGGAATCAGCAACAATTCATATTATCCAACAACAACAAACAGAAATGTTAAACTGAATCCTTTGTCATCAACTCCATATGTTAGTTATGATGTATTTGATGAATTGAGCTTTGATGATGCATTTGGTTTAAAATCTTCTTTAAAAGAATTTGATTATAAATTTAATAATAATAGACATGGTAATTATATTATATTATATCTTTTTCCTTAGGAATAAATATCTTTATTATTCAATAATATTAATTTAATTATAAAAATAGATTCAGATTGGGATTCATTATCCAGTGGTCAAGGATATCCACCACTTACCCCGTCTTCAATTCATTCCTCATCCTCCTCATTTTCTCCGAGTTTGTCGCCTTACTACCCTTCGACAAAATCAAGTTATCATCAACATCATCACTGGTTTTTGGATGATAAAGAATTTTTTGCTCAACAATTATTGTTAGAAGAAGAACGCAAATTACTTGAAATACAACAAATTCAATTAAACGATGCAATTGCTGCTCACCAATTGCGTCTTAAATCGGAAGCAAACAATGACAATAATTTTGATCCATTATTTAAATTTAATTTGGTACAAACACCCACAACATCCACAACACCATTGACACCATTAACACCGTCGACGCCATCTTCTTTAAATAATAATAATTCAAGATATAAACCAAATTCATTTCTACATCATAAATCTTCTTCTTCAAGTCAATCACTTAATCATTTATCATCATCTTCATCATCTTCGTCATCACTATCACCTTCTTCTCCCTCTTCACAGTCAAGATATTATAAAGAACCAATTGGTACTCCAGTTAGAAAACCTTCGCCATCTAATTCCATTAACAACCATAAACACAATGTTAAACCAATCTCAATTTCTACCGCATCGTCATCATCGTCATCGTTATTATCTTCTTCTTCTTCTTCTTCTTCGTTGTCACCTTCATCTTCTTCTTCGTCATTTTCATTATTCTCAAAATCACCCTCTTCATCAATCAATACTTCTAATATTAATATCAACGTTAACTTGTCACCAACAACACCACCATCGATGCCTATAACACCGCCAACAACCCCATATAATAATAATAATAATAATAATAATAATAATAATAATAATAATAATAATAATAATAATAATAATAATAATAATAATAGTTATTTTAATCCATTCTCTTCTTTAAATATTCTTAACCCAAAATCTAAAAATCTTAATAATAACCTTAATAATAAACATCATCATAATCTTTTCTACAACAATTCTGCATCTGCAACAATATTTGATGAACGTGAAGAAGATTCATTGTCATGGCCTGATGAATCATTTAATAAAGAATTTGAAAGACCTTTACAACTTAATAATAATAATTTGAAATTTCATCGTGGTCATCATCGTCATACATCTGAATTAATTAAATTATTGGTGTAATATTAATTTAAATTGGAAAGATTTGGGATGTTTTTTCTTAGGCTTTATATATACATACATACAATACATAATAAATAATTAATATAATCTTTATAATTTAAAACTTTTTGGTGGGACATTAAATATTTATTTAACTCTTCTTTTTTAATTTATTTATTTTAATATCTCATTACTTTATTTAATAATAGTAACATATAGTAATATATAATAATAATAGTAATCATAATAATAATAATAATAATAATAATAATAATAATAATAATAATAATAATAATAATAACAGGTGAAGGAAGTATCTTGATGAGATTTCCTTGGATTTGTTGTGATAATGAGCGCAAGTGTGAGAGAGTGAATGTATTTTTAAGAGTGAGAGTGAGAACTGATTAAATTTAGAGATTTGTTTTTGGTATTTATTTATTTTATATTATTTATATATTTATATCGTATTAATCTTTTATCAAATAAAAAGTTGGTCTTTATAGCGAGTGAATATATTTCCTTATGAAAAAAATATACGCAGTGTATAATAAATGTCATGCGTACAGTTAGCGTACAACTGCATAGGTTGCCTTCATTTCATAATGTTAATAGTATCAACAAAATAATAATGATAACAATAGTAACGGGTTTGCAATTTCTCTAATTATCAATATTAACATATTAAATAATTATGTTTGTTACCAGATTAAAGATTCGATATTAGGTGCTTAAAGTATGTGATTGTACAAATGCGATTATTTTTCTTGATGATAATTGGTAATTCTTAAAATTATAATACCACGTATTTAATTTAATAGTTATACCCTGTGGTTAGTTAGATGTTGGTTTTTTGGTCAAATAATTCAAGTTGATTGTGCAGATACTTAGCTGCCTTTTAATTGTTATGTTAAAAAGGCAATTCCTCCCAACCACCTTTTATGGTTCTCTTAGTTTTCTATTTCTATAGATAGACATGCAATTTCAATTGCGAATTGCTAAAGGTTTTTGTTTCTGGACTGAATTTTTTTCGGAAGCGTGGATTCTTTTTATTATTATAATTATAATAATTTTAATTTTTTACATTGTTGTATATTCTTTAAATGCTTTCTGTTTGGTCGGTATGATTGAAAAATACATATCGTGAAAGCAACCTTCCAGGCAGTCTAAGCAAACCAAATATTTAATTATGCAATTAATATTTTTATATTATTTCGTTGATTTCTATCAAAACGAGATGGTTTTGTTTAATACAAATGGGAAGAATTTTTTCGTAAATTACGTTTTCTTTTATTTATATCACATGTTTCTTTTTACATGACATTAATCGTTTGGTTTTCGCCTGTCTATTGTATTTTAGATCACTTAAACAAGACGACAAAAATTAGCGGACGCATCTGTCTTCGATCGAAAATCTGCAAGTATATATATACTTAAAGAAATTGAGACCAAGTAAATTTCATGTAACAACTTTTTTTCATAGAATATTTTCTACAACATACATTTGATTTATTCGATTTATTTATTTCCTTTTTTTTTTTTATTAATAAATAAAAGTTCTTTACAACAAAAAAGTTTAACGAACATATTATATACAAAATTTGGTCGTGAGATTCAAATATTGTAACACAAAAATTATTGTGACAAATTTTTTTTTTAGATTAATAGTAATAATAGACTCCCTTTTTAAAGCCGAATTGAATGGTGGTGGTGGGTTTTTTAAAATCCAATGTGTGGATTTCAAAATTTTTAACTTTTGAATATAGATGATCCGCACTGTATTATTAATATTAATATTAATAATATATAACAATAATTCGAATAAAATTAAGTCAGCTGCGAATGGCTGAGCGCGTTTGGCTGACTTATCGAGAGAACCAACTTTATCGAGACCGTCTTAAAGATAAAATATTAAAAAAAATTTTTTTTATTCTAAATAAGTAAATTATAAATAGTTTTTTATTCTAAATAATTATTTATATTAATCTTTTTATTAGAATTTCAGAAATTTGGAAAATCAACCAACCTTTTCATACTATTTCCTAACACAAATAAAATATAATAAAAATAAATAAATGTATTTTTCACAATACAAATAAGAATATTCTTTCTAAATTATCAGACAATAAATTATACAATCAATGAAATAATAATATATCGCGACAAGGATTTCTAAATCATCAGGTATAACATATGATATACATTACTAAAAGTAGTAATGATGATCTTTTATTTAATGAAAATGTCACGTGAGGCCGACTTATTGAGAACAATTTACTTATCTTAAAAAGAGGGGTTTGCTGACTTACAACTTATCGTGACTTTATATAGGTTGGTTGACTTATCAAGGGATTTTAAATAGGGAAAAAAAGGGCTGAAAAATTTTGGTTGTTAATAATTCGAATTATTGCTAATACTAATCTATTTTTCCTTCATAGTCCTTGTATATATGGTGATAATAATAATAAATGGCAGTAACTGACATTTATTTTATTTTCTTAAGTCACAGTAGTAAGATAGATTGTAAATATAATTACTGTAATTTATATTTATCTTGTTAAAGGAAATATGACCTTATTTGTAATTTTACAATCCCTTAACAATAATAACAATAACCATATAGAATTTGTTGTGAATTGATATTTTGTAATAATAATGATTCGAATGAGAAATTGTATAAGTAAAATTTAATCCAAATTTATACACGCGTAACCGGAAAATGGCTTTATCTGGATGCCCGGAATTTTATAATAGGATTTTGAACCTATTATACCATATAAGAAATTTTGATTTATAAAATCAAGTATCGAACGCCAATTGTAAGTGATTGAGAAAATGTAAATTATTTTAAGCATTTTTACAGTTATGACTCAATCAATATCCATTTCTGATATAGGGTGGAGTATGACCTTTGTCTGAACTGCATAACCCAAACTTGTCTTGAATCTAAAAATAAAACAAATTCCACAAATAAAATAATAGTAAATAATAATATACCAATAGCATCTGGCCAAGCAATTGTTGGGTGAAGGATAGCCCTAATGTCATTAATACAGCAAATTTTCTCTTTGTTCTGATTTTTTAGTCCTAATAAAGATTTAATTATTATGTGTTAATTTTATTTATGAGTGTTTTTGTTTTGCCAAGTATTTCTCAAAATTTACCTGTGTGGTATTATGTTTTTTGGACAAAGATATTATTAAATTAGTTGCAACAATAGAGACGGAGTTTTTTGATGTTCTAAATTCATCAATTGTTACAACAAAACTTTTTTTAGACAGGGGCTTCGTGAACCGCTAGAAAAATGAATCATCAATTTCTAATGTATAGGAAACGAATTAGAAACTACAAATAAATATGTATTAAAATACCTTCACAGGTAAAATACTAAAGCCTTTCGTTTTCACTGCGCCCCATTCCCAAACGCAAACAGTGGTCTATTCTTTTTCTTTCCACAATTGGCATGGACTTAAAAGGTCATATACATATTATTAATAACTTATTTAAAACAAAAAAGTTTCATTCATTTAATTTAAATTGCATATGACATTCCAGACAATTAATTTCCAGTTTTGTCTAGGGTACTTCCGATAGCCATCTACATAGTTGCTCTAGTTCTTTATGTCTGTGCCCAGTATTAAATGCATCCGGTCTAAAAATAAATGTAAATAAGCAAGTGATTAAAGATTACATTCAAAAAAATCTATTATTTTTTTTTTACTGTTGTGAATAATTATCTAAATTATACCAACTTTGACCGGTCACAGTCTAAGAAATTTTTTGGTTCCGAGGATAAATTATTATACAGTGGATCCATATCAGCAACTTCTTTTTTCTTCGTCATGGCTCTTTTCCTATTAAATTCTAATA